TTACTTGGCAGAGGTTCAAGCTTTAAATTTTGTGAAACGATCGGACAAATATGCTTTCTTTTACATGCTCACTAGGCAACACATATCAACAACTTTTATGCTTTTGAAGGTTGCAAGCGCATTTAGTAGTTTGAAATATCTTTCGGGAAGGACGCTCAGTCAGTAAGTTGTCACTTACTTACTAAGATAATTCTAATTGCACCCTTCCCCCCATTGCACTTTCTGTCAAAGGACGCGTTGATGGGGGATTGTGTTTAAAAAATAGACTCGTATCTTCGTCCACAGTTAATCAATAAGTAGCACAGAGGGTGCTAATATATAGATAGAACCCGATTGAAAAGGTCGTTGAGACTAATAGGTTCATCACCTGAACTTTAGAAGGGAGAGCGGGTGCATCGAACTCGTACCTTTCAATTTGGTTGATTTGTAGGCTGATGATTACGTAAATCAGTAAGTCTTTTTCCCAATCTCTAGGAATGCACCAGTTGTTCTAAAATTCGAGTATTCGAAGAGGTGTATACCAACAAGTGAGCAAACTGCACGATTCAGTTTTAGTTAACCCAAGCAATTTTCCCGGCGGGTATGCATATTGCGGCGAATCGTGTTTTTTTCATTCATTCGTACAAAAAAGCGGGGTGAATGATGCAGGTGGAACAAAAATTTTGATAAAATCGGCGCCACTCAATCCCCTTTTTAGCCAAACTCCGTCGCGTGAAGTGTGTACGTGCGTGCTAGGAAGTGTGCGCATACGAAAACCCAACATAGTGTGCTCATCGGGTCGCACGTGAAGCGCGCATACAACGCACATACCTAGTAGGAACGACGACGGGATCAAAGACGAATTTGATTGAAGGCCGCTGTCACTTCTCATGGCCAAAACACACACGCACACACGTACGCACCTGCTTGCACGCACACCAAAGCAAAGCGCGCGGTAGAGGTTATGTGCGGTGCGCGTTAGGGCGTGACGTCAGGGGTAATCGCGCTTTTCGTCTTATGTGTGTTACGTTGACGACTCCACTTTCTCACTTTTGCTCTCTCCTTCTTGTCCACCGCTTTGCATCGAGTGCCTTAAAAACCATCCACTTTAATGATCTTTGTTTGAAATTCAAATACTACTTATTTTCATCAGCATTATTTTTCAAGGTACTCAGATGGGATTCAGAGAAGAAGTCTAATTCACCACATGGGATAAGACAATTATTTCAAACCTCCACGTAAATCGGCCATCAATAAGTCTAAATTAGTGGATCATGGCCATATTCAAATGCACTCAACTACTTAAATATTCCTTAAGTAGCATATGGAGGACAACCAATTATAGTTTTCCATGGATATAAAATAATATCATTGTTCAATTAAAAAACCCGATGTGAATTGAGTTACTGGGATATGATGCAACATACTCCTTCTATCACATCTCAGGCCTACCATTTATATATGCTGAAGAATCCAGTTGGTAGGTTAACGCGACTGATTATGAAGCTGGAATTCGAGGATTTTGGAACAGTCGAGACATTACATGGAACAAGCACCAATGACATTGTGGTCAATCTGTATGCTTGAAAAGTCAGAGGTCACGGGCTCTGTACCCTTGAGGTACCTCTGGCTGATAAACCGTACAAAGAAATTTCCAGATAAAATCCCATAGCCTAAGTTGGATAATTGAGAACGTCTTTATCAAGTGATATGGGGATTAAGGTAGCCCCCAATCTATCCATTTCTTATCCTACGAACAAACCACCTTTTATGCATCGCCTTACAAACCAATACGCAATATGCGAGTTCCAAAAAATTAACCTCTCTTTAAGTTTCAACTTCCCTAGGTAAGAAATAAAGGTGAAGATAGGGTTGAGTTATAATTACGAAATTCTTCAACCGTCGCCTTTGTTACCATATTCTGATTTGATGCTGATTTCTGCACACTCATTGAAAAGAAATGCCAAACACAGTGGCAAAAAGCTACTAAATGTGAGTCTGCATGATAATGTTTCCATTATTCAAAATGAGCATTTGAAAAGGCGACCCTAATTTATCGTGGTCAATTTGCATGCCTATGATCACGAGCAATGATGCGGTTAGTTAATTCTGGTTGATAAAAGATTTGATTGAG